GATCATCTATACTGACATCGAAAGCATCTTGTCTATACTTGTTGAAATGAAGAAGCTGCGCGGTGTCCAGTGTTTTCTAGACGCTGGGATCGGGTCGTTAACAACGACAAGATCTGCTTGACTTCACACCAAAGTATTAGCTTTTTATCTTTCCTGCTGTTCATTTTATTCGAATAAAACCGTGGACATGTTTGAATGAGATGACCTAATATTTTCGTCCTTTAGGGTAACCGGAGGTTAGAGGCCAGCATAAGCGAGGAGTCAAGAGTGTAGGCTGATGCCGGCACCTTTGAAAGCCGGAAGTGCGACCCCGCCGAGACTCAACCATGCCCTGCGAAACTGCACTATTCTTGGGACCTGCCATACTAAGAAAAACCATTATAAACGAAATAATTGAGAAAATTGTAGGCCCAGGTTGACAGTTCGCCTGTTGAAAGCCCGCCACCCAATGACGTCTGAAGTTCCAAAAAGTATCAGTGATAAAGCTAGGACGTCACCCGGAAGTGGCGCGCAGAACCCCCGCCCGAGTTCTGTGGTCAGTATGCGAGGGCTACCGACGGAGTGAACGACGTAAGCCAACGAAGCTAGTTTGAACTGGGACTCTAAATCGCTAACTGTGAGCAGAGGAAGAAAAGCCGCGCCTACCCTGCCCTAGCCAACCTCGAACTTGAGAGGGTGTTTGACCGTCTATCGCGAGCAGTGCTAAGGAGAGTGTTCAGAGAATTGGACGTACTAGAACACCTCCTCTCTGATGAATGTGTTAAGGTAGTTACACGGACCGCACATGGTCCTAACAAAGGAGGTAAACATCACGGTTGGGGTGCACCAAGGGTCAGCTCTGAGCCCGTTCCTCTTCCTCCTAACACTAGATGTCATGGTGAAGGGGCTCATGGAAGGACCACTGAAGACCATCCTCTACGCTGACGACATCGCCCTGATAGCGGATAGCAGAGGAGAACTTCAAGCCCGTAAGGACTTCCGATATCCGAGGGAAGGTCAGGCTGCTGACGGTAGTGTGGATCAGGCGGTGAAGGCTCGGGTCAACGCTGCATGGATGAAATGGAGGGAGTCCACTGGAATCCTCTGCGATCGAAGGTGCTCCAGAACGCTCAAAGGGAAGGTGTACCGGACAGTGGTAGGCCTGCGATGCTATACGGCAGCGAGTGCTGGCCCCTGAGCAAGAACCACGAAAGGCAGCTTCACTCCGCTGAAATGAGGATGCTGAAGTGGGCCTGCGACTGGACGCGGTAATTAAGCAGACTGCCCCCGTTAAACTAAACACGTGACAAAAACGCCTGCGATGGTATGGGCACGTGCTAAGGAGGCCACAGGACCATCCGATAAGAAAGCGATGGACTTCGAAGTGCAAGGCAAGCGACCGCGAGGAGCCCCAAAGAAATTGGAAGAGACGTGATCAAGAAGGACCTAGTGAAGTCACGGCCACAGCAGAAAATGCCCTGGACAGACCAAAGTGGCGACTTTTGATGAAAACAGCAGCTCCTACCACTGCGCGGAACTAAGGCGAAGGTGCGGTTTCGGATTACTTTTGTAGGCGATGAATGTAGGTGTATACAATTCGGGTGATAATTCGATTCAGGTTATGTATCAGTTGAACGTAACTCGCAACATCGACTTCAAACTGCGGCTGCAGGAATTTTTTTTTGCTTAAGCTTGGTAAAAGTCTTTCACGAGGAGCTTCACCTAGGAAGTGGAGCACATACTCATACCATTTGTTTTTTCAATTTTGATCCTCAAAATTCATTGCTAAAGCTTTCAGCCTCGCGGTCATTGCCGATATCGGCTAACCGGCTCAACACGTTATACGTGTGAGTGCTGAAAGCTATGGTACGTATACCATGAAAAGCTGAGTTGGGATGAAATGGTGCCCCGGTAGCGTAACTGGTAGCGCACTTGCCCGGAAAGCGAGAGGTGCGGGTTCTAGTCCCGTCTGGGGCGAAAGTTTTGTTCACAACCCAGCATTCTTGTGAAACATTTTTTCATTTAATGATGCACGCGCATGGAACTCACAGAAGATTGAGCAAGAACTAGATGTTTGTACGGATTCTCCGTGAAGAAATTTTCCCAATGAACTGGCGCTCATAAGTAGGGGTTAATTAAAACCAGCCTTTAAAAAGTCATACTCTCGATCGCGACTGTCGGTAACCCTCGAAATTATGTCTCCAAATTTTCCACTTGTCCCTCCCAAAGGGCACCATAACTTCAATGTAAACTACTTTTTAAGAGCTGAATCTCAATTTTTTCTAAAACTTTTAGGGGTATAGGGGTCATGAATAAATCACGCCATTTCTGGAGCCGACGCCATTTGACGCTTTCCATGTAACACCATTTCGAAATGTGAAATTTCGACACAGTGAGGACCACAAACCCTATCAGAACACGGCGATTTGTTCGATCCCCTCTTGGATTACCCATATCCTTCCTATACCAAAGACAATATTATTTTAGTATAGTTCAACTTTCGTGTAAGTTTGGGCAGATGAATTCAGTGGGAATATTTCTTCGAGCCTCTCAAGTTCAAAACATTACCTTAAGATTCCACGGATTCGACTCTCAGGGCCTGAAATGGTCAAAGGTCAATGTAATTTGCTCTCGCTGACTTTCGCTGACTAATAACTTCCAACGGTACACAAACATGGCTGTAATTAACTTAAACTCCACCGCTGGGACAGGACGACCCAACGGACTAACTTCGGCATGTGGTGAGTACAGTAAACCCCCCCCCCCGAACTATTGCTGACCCGTGCCGTATTTCCTTCGGTTGATACCGTTGAAGTGAGCCATGAAGGAAAAACTACGTGAGCGTGAAATTAAAATGAACAGCTTACACTTGCTTCCGACCACTTAAGGCTTCGACGAAGGCGAAGGAGCCGAGACGTACGCCTACTCAATTGCTGACTTTTGAACATTCCAAATCAAATTTCTACTCGAATCTTTTTTCGGGATTTTAGGGTGTGCACAGAAAAAAATGTGCTTTCTTTCTTGCGGACATGTGCCTCTACAATATGTAAGTGTCGTTTTAAAGGACGCTCTACGCTCTGAATAAGCATACTCATTTCTGCAATTCTTTTGATTTGAACTTCTTTAAAATCGCCTTGTCATAGCATATCATATCTTTTTACCCCTCCCCTGCTTCTCACCTCACAGCCATTTTATAACACAATCATTAGGTCAAGAATAGAGCATTCTTTTCCGAATAAATCAATTTCCAGAAGGGTTAAAATGAATAGCAGTGCACACTCAGCGTTAAAGTCACATGAATGGTGAGCTTATGACAGATTCCAAAGAAACAACCCTGATGAGCTTATTCCTACCTTGTCTTTCCACCAATCAGCTGAGAATCCTTGAGCCAGATTTCCGAAAAGCACTGCAATGAGATTGTTCAGCTTCCTATTTTTTGTCAACTGATGATGGGCACACTCGTGTGTAAGCCAACCAAACTGTTGCCACGAGACCGCAAGAGATAGAGCTGAGGTGAAATACCTAAAAACGAAAGATGCAGCAATAAGGTGTGAAAGGTGCTTTTTCAGAATATAGTGCACTAACAGTGTTGCGTCGTTTTGTTTAAATGAGCATTGAGTAGGAGCAGCGACAAGTGGGGGTGCTACCGTGTGCGTTTTGCGTAGTGAACTTGAGCAAGCTTCATAAAGACCCATAACGGCCCTATTTGTCCGGGAAGATGACGGACACTAGTTTTTGCTTGTTAGCTGCTGTTTTTGGCCGCAGTTCGCCTTGCGAATGTTTCACAAGAATGCTGGGTTGTGAACAAAACTTTCGCCCCAGGCGGGACTAGAACCCGCACCTCTCGCTTTCCGGGCAAGTGCGCTACCAGTTACGCTACCGGGGCACCATTTCATCCCAACTCAGCTTTCATGGTATACTTACCATAGCTTGTCAGCACACACACGTTATTAGCGTAATTATTCGTTGAAATGATGCCGAATCGAGATAGATTCGTCCAAAAGAAATCCGTCGTCGACAAAACGAAAACAATGGGCAGAATGGGAGTTTCATATGACGACTTTAGGGTGCTTCCCTCTGTTTCTTATTCACCACTGCACCATTTACCATCGCTACTTTCATTTACAACGGGCGAGCAATTTATCGTACCACCTGCCCTAAGATGAGCCAATAGTAAGCGAGAGTGAGTGAGCGTAAATCAAAACATAGCAGCCTCATGAAGCCAACTACTAGGGATTTGTCAAAGTACCGTCATCAACTGCAACAAATCTCACCATTGACAATATTGTAAGTAGAATGCGAAAAACATGAAACCAAGTGTTGTGATGGATTTCCCGACGTAGTACCACGGTTGTGCCTCCATTAAACCCCAGTCGTAGACACGCTGCCGTAACTTCTCAAAGTTCTTCACGATCCTCGCTTCCTGAATGGTACTGCCGTCAACTATAAAACACAATGAAAACCCACAACAACAAGAAGAAACACGTTGACGACAGCGTGACGCGGTAACGCGTCCCACTTTGCGCACCTCGTGGGACATTGTGACGCGGTAACGCGTCCCACCCAAGTCATCCCTTTTTCTTGCGCTTGTGCGACTTATTCCTAAGGCTTTGTACTCATTCTATAGATCATACATTAACGTAACTATAAACGCTGTGGTCCATGAAATGGTTAGATATGCCTTAGTTCAGCAAAAGTTCCCCGGACCTTACGTACTTTTCAGCTATTTTCATACTTCGACTTTTATTCTTCAAACGTAACATATAGAACACCTCCTTCTTTTGACCCCTCTTGAACCTTAAGAAACATCGCGTGTAGTTGGACCGACAAGTTGAAGAGTAGTCACGCTCAAGTTTCAGCAACGATTCGACCAGCTGTAATTTGAATCATTCAGTTAAACAATATTGATCAAATCTTTGCATCACTTCGTATTTTGTATTCGTTTTTACTTTGTGTTTTGTATAAGTTACCTGATCCCCCTCGCTCCCACTATATTCTTGTTTCTTTGCATTCAGGGTTGAGTTCCGAAAAAGCACCGCGTAGGACAGCGGAACGTGGTTGCGCATCATGCAAATCGGGGCCGCCAAACTGCTCGTGTCCCACTAGCTGAAGAATGCCAAAACGTGCGCTGCCGTCAACGTGTCAATGGAGCACAGAGTGGTGCTCCTTTGTTTCTGATTTTTTTGAGATATAAGCAGTTCTTCCTGAGGGCCTGTCAGAATCGCTAGAAGTGGAGCAATTTCTATCACCAGTTTGGCAGCGCACGCACTCGCGTGCATCACACGGGACTGCATTGATAGGAAACAGGGCCATTGATATTTTTATAGTTCACCGTGGGAAACTCCGCAAATCCTTGGCGCCCACAAATAGCATTTGGCCCCATTCCTTCGCCAACCTTTATCCACTTTTCCCAGCCTCTGGGCTCTCTTTCAACCTCTGTAATATCACGTGACAAACATCGCCTACTTCAACGCACGCTCCACCCACCAATAGCGGTTGACCTTCCGTTGACAAACTCAATCCACTTTTCCCGGTCTTAGGTGCTTGGAACCGAGTTATGAATTTTCGTCGCAAACTCTGCCTACTTCGATGCACACCCGCCTACCAATAGCAGTTGGGCTCCTTTCCGTTGACAAACTCAATCCCTTTTCCCGGCCTCCAGGACTTCTTGGAATTGAGTTATGAATTTTCGTCGCAAACTCCGCCCACTTTGGTGCATGCTTAGCCCACCAATAGCATTTACCCCATTCCCTCCGCAACCCTTATCCACATTTTCCGGTCGCCGGGACTTCTAGGAACCGAGTTATGAGAGTGGTGGCAAACTCCGCCCACTTCGGGGTGTGCCACGCCCAGCGTTCACATTCAACCTCCCTCCTCCTCCGACACCACACACGTTTTTTCCGGTGTCTAATTCATCGCGGAGCTCGCAAACCCCGCCTTTGGTGCATGCTTAGCCCAATGATGGCATTCAACCCCACTCCCTCCCCAACCCTTATCCACATTTTCCCCGGTCGCCGGACTTCTAGGAACCGAGTTATGAGAGTGGTGGCAAACTCCGCCCACTTCGGGGTGTGCCACGCCCAGCGTTCACATTCAACCTCTACTCCTCCTCTCACCTCTACACACGTTTTTTCCGGTCTCTAAGTCATCTCGGAGCCGAATTATGAGGTCTTGTAGGGACGAATGAGCATGAATTTTTGTGGCAAACCCCGCCCACTTTGGTGCATGCCTCGCCCACCGATATCAGTTGACTATCATCTCTTCCCCAACCTCATTCTACTTTTTTCCCATCTCCGGAACTTATTGGAACCGAGTTATGAAGTTTCGTGGCAAACTCCGCCCATTAGCACATGCTCCGCCCGCCAACAGCAGTTGACCCTTTCCCTCTGCCAACCCTTATACGCTTTTCCCATTCTCCGGGACTCCTAGGAACCGAGTTATAAGCCTGGTTGCAAACTCCGCCCACTTTGGTGTAAGCCACGCCCAGCCCTGACATTTAGCTTCTCCTCCTCTCTCCACTGTTTTCCGGTCTCTAAGTCATCTCGGAGCCGATTTATGAGCTCTTGTAGAAAACGCTGTCTACTTCACGACACGCTCCGCCCATTGTGGGCGGGCCTCCGTTCACATCATGTATGCTGGAAATACCTTAGACATTGCTCCCCTACACTAATTTCTTTTCTGCTCTGTAGGCTTTCTCCTAACCGAGTTATGAATATTTTCATTGAGCACCGCTTTTTTAGAGAACGCCCCGCCCAGGGTGGGTCTCCTCAATTCGATCTGGCTTACCAACGCACACCTATGCCCACTTTTGTCCCCAGTCTCGAGGCTGTTTTGTGACTGAATTTGAAATCAAGTACCGATTTCGCACGCCACGCCCACTGTGGGCGGGGCTCCGCTTGGCTGATGTGTGTTTTTTACTTCTCGAGGATATGGTACACCCATCCCAAACTTGACCTGGACCCTGTAGGTTGTTGTTCGCTTAATACCGAATTTCGTGACAGACGGACAGACAGACAGGCTTAGCGCATTATATATAGTAGGGATATTTCTCACATTTGCACAAGGCAATCGTAGAAATACTACCTCAGTAATTAATAGATGTGAAACAAAACAGAACACATCAGCAGTTTAGTGCTTTGGCGGCGTTTCGCAATTCTCGAACTACGACTCGCATCTCACATCCCGATCCTGCTACTCGAAAAGAGAGGACGTGAACGACGCCTTCAGTTTACACCTCTTCGCTACACAAAACACATCAACACACCGACGACAGCGCGGCAACTACGTACGCCGTCATTTTCACCTTACGTCGGAAAATGGGGCAACTATGTATGCCACACACACGCTTTCGCACAAGCGACTTCTTCCCAAGTCGGTTCGTAGGAGTGTAGTGTGTATGTTGTTCTGTGCGTCCAGACCAGGGTCACTGGACAAATTTCAGAATTTTTAATCCAATTTTCAAAATGTCAAATTAACTTCGCGTCGAAATAAGTTGATATGTTGAAGAACACATCAGGACCTTCAGCCAGGATGTTTCAGAAGCTCAAATGCGCAACGGGATAATTAAGTAGGAATCAAAAGATCAACGACCAAACCCAACCATTATGCCTTACGACAATTTTAAGAAGAACCTTGCAAGGAGCGCGGTAGGCAAGATCAGCGCTACGTTTGCCCCAGTCTTTGCTACTGATCGGCACTGAGCTATTGGCTCAATAGCATCGGCAAATAAGATAGGAGCTGCAAAGTTCGACCTCATCATGGACCTCCAGTCACTTTGGATGAGGACCCTTGCGCAACGAATAGGAAGTGCATCCTGACGCTATTAGCAGGAAACTGTAGCAAACACCTGGACGCAGCCTATGCTCCATGAGTCAATATCAACGGGTAGCATACATTTCCTAGTCTGGCAACTTATGTGGGCACGATGGTGTCAATTGATCTACACCAACAAACCCACCGCTACAAATAAGGCCCAACACTCCATACACCACCACCGAGCAATGCACAGCCCGCCTTAAGGGCTCGCAGCCTGGACTCACCATCTCGACCAAAGCATGAGCTCTCTCATCAGAGGATATTACCCGGTTCGTTGGATTCGCTGGGTATCCTGTTTTGAGAACCATTTCACTTTATGCAGACAAGCATTGCGAAGGTAACCATGGAATAGCTCCCGAAGTTGGCCGCAGCAGTGCGGGAGAACGGTTCGAAACGTCTCAAAATCTCCTTTCTCCGAAGGACCGCCCGAAATCACATTGCAAAGATAACTCGCCACGTTTCGAGGAAACTGGCTGGACCACGACACCACATCTGTCGTATAGCCCTGACATTGCTCCATCGTACTATCACCTCCTCAGCTCCCTGAAGCAGCAGCTTGGAGAGAAAAAGTCAGTAAATGCAACCACCCCAAAAACGACCTCTCCGAACTTTTCATTCCACAGCTCCATTCATTCTGGGAGGAATGCATCCATTCGTTCCCTAGCAAGTGGATGCTTATCAGTGATTATGATGGTGGTTACTTTTTGATCAATCGTTTTTAAGGAAAGATAAAACTTGAGGAAATCAAAGTGGTGAATTTCGCCTGGAATTATGGGCCAACCCAATAATTAGAACCTTCCTGCCGGGAACCGAATTGAGCACGGGAGCGTTGCGTTCGCATTGGCGCGCACAATCTTCCCTCGACCCAGCGCGGATAGACCGAGGCGGACTACTAATTTTCAAAAGAGTGTAATTCTGTTCAGCGTCAATATTTTTCAAAATGCAAAGTGGATTTGTAATCTACGAGACCCCTAGTTTCCGAAAACAGCCACTTTTTTGCAGTTCCTTCAAACTGCGTTAGTTATGCGGTTCAAAAGCTTGCTTCAAAATTGTTTCATGTCGCGTGAAGACGCCTGATTTTACATCCAAAAACATCTGAGGGAGTGGTCTCACAGCAACTGCTTTTATCTTGGGCTAAACCCACTTTTTCTAAGTGGTGCACACATTCGAACGTTAAAATGTTTGCAGCAATAAGAGGAATTCTACAGAAGAACGCTGCGTTGGCAAAGTGCTAGTCATTCTCATATCACGTTTTTAACAAAAATGTTCCGCTCACCTCCTCAATGGAAATATCATAAGTGGCAATGTTGACATCAGCCTTGTCCAAACGCAATCTCAACGCCTCTTCAAGATCTTCTGAGGGATCCCATGCACTCTTTTTCAGTGTCTTAACAGAAAATTTCAAACACAGTGAAAAATATTACCATAACTTGACAAGTCCAGCTAACAATTAAGGTCACGCGATTTTCGTGAAGCATTCTTCATGTAAAAATAGTAACCCTTCCACTATTTTTGGATTTTGGCTGTTATATTCTTCCCACGTGTTCAGCCCGTCGTTTTTCATTCCATACCTCTAACAACATGACCACCGGTTGCAAGTCTCCTCGAATTTTCATCGGTTACGCGTTCCGTCGAGAATAATAGACACATCGTTCTTTCCATTTGCCGTGATTATCATCTTTATTTTCGGTATTGTCCAGTTTTCTGCTGTACGAGAGAAGACCGGTCAGACATTCAGGTTAAATAAGAAGACTGGTCAGGCGATCAAGTGAAATATCAGATCTTTTTGAAATTCTGTCGTTTTTCGACTTTTCACTTCTAAATGCTTAGTTTGTATTATCTCCAAGGGAATGTCACCAATCTATCATATACCGTTTCAAAGTTCTCATCATCTATCTGAGAGGTGATCATCTTTGTTATGATTCATTTTGTTACCACCTCATCATTTTGGATAGGGGACTCGAAGAGCATGTTTGCATGAATTTCTTTATCCAGCTCAAATGGGCCTGGAAGGAGAGGCTAGGTCTAGATACTGAAGACGCATTTGGCCAACCAGGGACTGTTTCCGACTTCCCATGGAACTTTGGATGGAGCCCCCGGTAAATTGGTAGAGTACTGAATATTATTCACAGATATGTAGACCAAAACTGCTACGCGACCTTTCTAGGCAAGTTGTGAGCGGTCAAAGTTGGCAAGAAATGCAGTAAAAAAGTGAGTTGCGGCACCAACTGGCACCAGATCGCCTCTGTCTTGAAATTAATGTCATATTCGTGAACAGACCATCTGCTTACAACCACAGGTACTGTTATAGGAGAACGCCGAGCTGCTAGATTAGCTCGCCTCCTATACTGACGGTACCCTTCCTGTCAACTTTGATCCGCCCACTCTTTGCTTGGAATGTTCACGTAGCAGTTTCGGTCTCAATATTTGTGACCAGCATTCATTACTCTTACGATGGCGCCCGTTCCTCCAAGGGGTGCCACTGGGAACTGCTCACTTTTGTGAGCTGAGCTGAACACGGACATTCGAATGCAGGCGACAGGCCCCCGTGACAGGCCGGCCTACGAACACCCACGTCACATCACAAATTCAATGTCGCCATATGAATCTCGAGATAATGCTACGGCGTCCGCGAGAGGCGAACTTGCTAATCCCGAAACCATCAACTGCGTCGGGATGATTGTCTCTGAACGCTTTCGTGATTCGATAGTAAGTGGAGGAGCTTCGACGACCGTTAATGAAATCATTGTCGTCATCGAACAACAAAAATACCACTTCTTCTCTGCGTACGCTCCGCAGACTGGATGCTCCGAGCAAGCCAAGGACAAGTTCTGGAACCTGCTTGATGAGAAGACAGCTGAGGTACCGTCACAAGAAGCCATAATTGTTGCAGGTGACCTCAATGGTCACGTGGGCGCTACGAAAGACGGTTATAGCTGTCATGGTGGTTTTGGATATGGTCACGTAATACTGATGGCGAGCGAATTCTTGAATATGCAGACTCGCATAATCCTCGCCATTGTAAACACGAAATTTCGAAAACGTGACTCACATCTTATCACATTCTATAGCGGTAAAACCAGAACACAAATTGATTTCGTCCTTGTCAGGCACCGCGATCAAGGGCTCGTAACAGGACGCAAAAGTAGTACCTTATGAAACGGTCGTCACACAACACCGACCACTGATTTGTACGCTAAAGATCGCCCCGCCGAAACCGAAACTAGCCGAAAGGTGTGGGCCAGCGAGAATCAAGTGGTGGCGACTGAAGGAAAAAGAAGCGGCCGTCGTTTCCCGCATTCGATTACCAGCGGTAACGACTGTCGACGAAACTTGGAAAGGTGCTGCCGAAGCGATAACTCCAGGATTGCGCGATCCGAGCTCGGCATGACGAAGCCTGGACGGCGAAAGGTTGACAAGCAAACGTGGCTGTGGACGGATCACGTAAGAGAGAAAGAGGGAGCGCTACTGTGCATTTTCTTTCAGAAAAGACAGCCGTTAGCTGGCAGCGCTATCAGATAGCGAAGAAAGAGGCAAAGAAGGCCGTTGCTTCTGCGAAAGCAGCTCATTTTGCCGATCTCAATGAGAAACTCGAGTCGCGCGATGGTGAGCGGTACGTTTACCGACTCGCAAAGACCCGCTATCGCCAGACCGAGGATATAGAAAAGTTCTTCGGCATAAATGACGAGAATGGTCACCTTCTTGACGGACCGCAAGAAAACATTGAAGCGATGGCGTGACTACTTCGAAAACATCTCAACAGTCGAATTTGCTCATCCCGCCATCCCTTGCGCTCCGCCAGTACACGGCCCCGTTCAGAAGATAACCATGGAGGAGACCATCACGGCCATGAAGAAGATGAAATCAGGCAAAGCAACTGGTCCTGACGACTTAGCGGCGGACTTGTGGAAATCAAAGTGCTGGAATCCTGCAGAATGGTTGACGGAGTTCTTCAACCAGATCGTTGCAGAGAAGAAGGTGCCTGAGAGCTGGCAACAAAGCACGACGATTCCTATCTGGAAGAAGAAGGGCAGTCCTGGAGACTGCACTAGCTACCGTCCAATTCGCCTGCTCTCGCACAGCATCGTAGCATGAATGCTAC